TGCAGTGTGCGTGATTCACAGAAATTTCGGACGCTTTAATGCATGGAAATTCTGAAGAATATGAATCTTTAAACTTCTGCTTTGATAATTTTGGCTTCTTCGTTCGAGGCAGCATTATGATTAAAAATCTTTCACCTGATTCACAGTTCACAAGACACACGCTAAGCTCTCGCCGTAAACTACACAATGCAGCCGAATGCAGCCTAAAAACACATCAGCGAGGAACCTGAGAGACAGACAATTGGGTGGAACTATTGATAAGTCGTTAACGGTTGGAGTTACTGATCTACAATTGGCTAATTCTTCAAAACTAGGAACGCACTCAACACGTGATATATAACATGAGTATTCAGCCAATCATCGGATGAATTAGTTGGTTCCGTTTTGCGTACTGGTTCTCCTGCTCTTGTTTCTGTAAAATCCGTAGTTTTTTCCATACTTTTCGTAGCTCGTAGTTTTTCATGAATTTCCATAGAAACTACGGAGAATCCGTAGTAGTTGGAGTCTATGCTGATGCCATCTACTGATGAAACAAAGAAAAACTAAAATAAAATTTCTTTAAAGGCTGAAGGTAAAGATGAATTGCAATTAGGGTAATTAACTAAAACAGAAATGATTTTTTTTTTTTTTTTTTTTTTTTTTTTTTTTGGATATGAAACACTTCTAAGAAATATAATTCACCAGTGGAGGATGTTTTCTGAATAATTTTGGCTGCAGTAAAACTGAAAGTGTGATTTTCATTCCAGCAACAGCGGATTTCTGTGCTCCCTTTTCCCAACATATGCCTCATGTTCTTTAACATGAAATTTTAAAGGCTCTTATTGTTTGACCAATGTAAATTAAACCAAACTGGCAAGGAATCCTGTAAATGTAATCCTGTAAAGGAACTCATATCGTGAATGGAGTCCTTAGCATGGAACTAGAAATTTTATTGATAGGAGAGAAAACATCCCTAAGTTAAATTTTTGCAAAATACGCCCAATTTTATAGCTAATTGACAGAAAGAAAGGAATGACAACAGAATTTTTATAATCTCCTAAAACAGAATTGTACCTTTTGATGTGTTCCAATGAGAATTTTTAACTGCACGGTTAATAATGTTAGGTGAAAACCCCTGTCAATAGCAACTGCTTTTAAATAATTTAGTTCTTGATCAAGAGCTAATTTGGAGGAGCAAACTTGAAATGCATGGAAAACAAAGAAATAAAGTGAAGTTAACTTCTGTTTCATTGGATGAATTTGAAGTGTGGTGGAAGGCAAACCAATGAAGGTTTACGGTAAACAGTAGTACTGAAGTCAGATATGTTACGTGCGACCAAAATGTCGAGGAACAGAAGAGAATTGGATGTCTCAAGATCAAAAGTGAACTGAATAGCAGGATCAATGGAATTAATTCATCATCGAAATAACATTATTTAAATCACTTTTATTACCATCAAACAGGGTAAATGTATCGTCTACGTAGCGGAACCAAACTGGGAAGTTTAAAGTTTCAAATAATTTTGATTCAAAATAATGCATGTATTTTAAAAAATTTTAAAAAATTACGCTGATTCTTAATGTTGGGACTTTGTTTTTGATTGTTATTCAGCATGATATTTAAACTAAATAAATTTAATACATGTTTAAGTGCCACTAAGCCTAATTATTTTTGCCATGGTGGACATATTTGTTTACATCTGAAACAACAGAATAGTAGATTTGTTGCTAATCTAGAGAAAGTAAGCTTCGTGACAACCAAATCGCAATAACAAAGATAACGCCTTCTTTTATTATTGCAAATTAAATCATGCTTAATCCATTTTGGAATTTATTTGAGGAGATAAGTGTTTAAGATTTACTTCATAATTTTCAATGCAGATATTTTGAGTTTCTATGTATTTTTGCCATGTTGTGAAGTGAAAACTTAATTAATTGAATGAGAAATACTGAATCGTCTGTGAAAAACTTTTTCTTTTTGTCTGTTTGTTGAATTTCTTTTATACATCGTTTTAGATTTATTATAGTATTTGAATAGAACATGTGGCAATGATTAGATAATTCTTAAGATGATATAAATTTTGTGCATTCTGAGTTAAAAAGTGAATGAAATGTAACACTGTTAAGTGAACCTAGGCCCAAAGTGTCGCTTGGTAAACAAATATAGTGAATTTTAAACAGTGCATTTATTCTATTGTGGTTTATGCACTATCAAAGAAGTAAATTATATTCAATCCAATAAGTTTAAATGAAATACAAGAAAAAAATCCGTATAATTTAATATTCCATACAAGAAAGTCATGTGGTGTACACATCAGATTTTTTTAATTATGCTACACAGTGAATCGCACTCTGCTGCACCTAGGCAAAAGCATAAATCTCAACATTTCACATTAATATTTCTCCTCTATGCTTCCTCAGTTTTAATTATACTTTAACAGAGACAACTGACAACACATTTATTAAAATGAATCTTTTGCTTCCTTGACACAGCATGATACAATTTATTTACATGTGAAAGAACTCTTTATATATATATACAGAAGCTTTTCACACATTTTTTAGACGATGTATATTGTATTCAAAAAACTAAATTACATAAAATTCTTGTGTTTTAAATGTTCTATTTGACATCCCTTATTCTGAACTATCTTTCGACACCACAATTTCCAGGATAATAATGCCTTTTGAAGTGACAGAAGAGGTATTCTATCCCATTCCTCCTGAACAGCTTTCCAGAGTCTGTTAGGGTTTTGGGACAACATTTGAATAATGCAGTTTTTAAAAGTCCGAAAGCACAAAAATCCATAGGTGACACATCGGGAGATTTAGTAGGGATATCAGTTAAGGATATGGCCTTGATACCAGTTTTTTGTTCCATTTCTTTTAGGAAATTTACAGTGGATTTTGATGTGTGACAGCTAGCTTTGTCCTGATGGAGTCTCACAGACTGATGGCACTGTGGGTAAAGCGATGGTATTTCATTCAGAAAAATTGGCGATAAAATAAGTTCCTGATAGTATTTGGTGTTAATCTTGACATTTGTTTGCACTCTCTTTATTTTTAACTTGCCATTATAAGAAAAACCAGCAACAATCATAAATCCCTTAGAAAAACTTTCTTTCGATTCTTTGAACCATGTACTTAAATTTTTTTCTCCCCTTTTATGATAATAAATGGCTCTTTTTTGTTACAATCATTTAAATACACCCATGCTTCATCTATTGTGACAATTGTTTTCCATTTTTCTTTTGATAAGTGTTTCTCATATAGAATTCTGCAGCCTGTCCTGCGTTGAGAGATATGCTTTGGAAGAAGATGATGCACATTGCGTTTTTTTGCTTTCTTAAGATTTAAATCAACGTTTGTCATTTTGTTTACAGTGGACACCGAGCATTTTAATGATTTTGCAACTGTCCTTTGACTAGGGGGATTTTATTTTAACATTAAACAACATGCCTTTGCAATAGTCGAAGATGTGCGTTTTTTCCTTGGATACTTGTTTGGAATTTTTGTCCCACTTGAGGCTCCAATTTGACGTTTTTTTCCTTTCTTGTTGATGATATTACCTATCGACACAAAACCATGACTCTCACATCGTTTTCGGATAACGGAGTATGCATATTTCTCTTCGGAAAGAGCGTAAATGTAGCCTTTGAACCCCTGCTTTGTTAAATTCGCCATTTTGAATAAAAACAAAACTTTCAAGCCACAGATGATAATTTTGACTTTTGAAAACATAGTACAATTGCAATTACTTCTTTTGCAGCAAACGATTTTTTATTACCGCTTACCAAAATCGTCTAAAAAATGTGCGAACAGCCTCTGTATAATACTTTAAATGCTGAAGACATGTAGAGCATAAAGAAGTAATTAAAATCATGGCCAATTCAGCACGCTTATTTCTTGACAAAACATTGGTTTTATTACTAATGACTATTCATGATACATCACTGATAAACTGGCACTATGAGCTGCTATTTCAAGCTTTCAAGGGAATCAACAGGACAGAAGCAAGAGTGAGAACGTGATGATAAAATGGAAATTTGGTCCAGAATGATTTGATTTTACCTAAGCTTTATCTCTATTGCTGAATTTTAACTTGTAGTTCCAAAATTTGCAATTATTATTCCAAAAATTGTTATCATTTAACTGTCTGCATCATGCATATTCTGCAGAAATCATATGCAGTGATTAATTTTCAAATGATGCACTTTAAACCAATTTATTATAAGCAGCTACTATTTTAAGACAGAAAGGGGGGAAAATAAATAACTTTGATTTACATGTTTTTTTTTTTTTTTTTACATAGATATGTGATAATTTATGAGTTTATGGTGTGAATTCAAAGCAACACTGATGCATAGAAATAATAGCAGTTGTTGAGGCCAACTGAATAGATTTTATTTCTTAAGAAGCCCATTCTTAATTTGAATTACAAAATGCAAAGTGATCTGTGCACCCATTTTGATCACATTTGTGCCTTTTCTAAATCACTATGGCAATAAAGATGTAAAAATTTATGGCAATACAATTGATGAAAAGATGCAAGGAGCATGTTTACAGGAATGCAAGCAAAAGCAGGAATCACCATGAAGATGAAAGTTTTCATAGGATAAATTGGTTTCAATTCAGATTAATCCCTATTGGTTAATAATAAGCTTTAGTTTCTAAATTTTAAATCATCACTGGCTGAAGCATTATTTAAACATCTGCATCATGAGCATTATGGAAAAATCATAAGGCAGGCACTAATTTTGGAATGGCACAGTTTAGAAAGGTTTATTATATCCTGTTATTTTTTTAAGGTGAATAGGAAAATGACCAAATTAAAATAAGAAGCCAAGAGACTTTCAAATTAAAGTTAGTATTTTATCTTATTTATTTTTTATCTTAAATATAAACATACACCATTGTTTGTCATTTTGGAAAGCAGTTCATAAAATTTCAATAAAATCTTAGATCTGAATATATTTCATGATTAAAATAGTTTCTAATTTAGAAATTAAAAAAAATCTTACTTTATGGTTAGAATGTAATATATTGATCAATGTATTCCATAAACCATCATCATACATGACTCTGTAAAATCCAGTTTGATTTATATTTAACTTCAGCCATTTTGCTCGAGCAGGTAAAAGAAACTCACCTAATGACAGGATAAAAATTAAATACATTAAACATGATACATATTATTAAAAATACACTTAGCAATGAACTTGAGCTGCTGAAACACATATAAGAATTGTGGCACAAGTGGGATATTTCTATATTTAAAGAATGAAGATAATTAAAATATCACACCAATTAAAATCTTTTATATCATATGTAATAATAATTAAATTATCTGTTGAATAATTTAAAGTAAAAGAACTGCAGTAAGAAATCATATAAAAGTTTTCAAGTGATCCAACATTTTAAATTATTTTAGTATTTTCAATGAGAAGATTACATCTGTTTTAATAAAAATACTTTTTCCAAATATTTAACTAATTATTTGCTTGGTGAATTAGTATACCAGGTAGCAACTTTTGAAGCAATGTAATGATTAGTATACCATGTAGCAACTTTTGAAGCAATGTAATGAATGAGATGCAGATTCTCAGCTCCATTGCACCAGTTCTGATTACTGACGCAATTATTCAACTGGAAGTGAAAGCTGTCACATATATATATGTTTTCATTAAATTTTGCATTTATATAAGCTTGATCTTTACAATCTAAAAAAAAAAAATGAATTGATTGCTGATGTCACTGTCTTGAGTGATTTACACAGCTATATCTTATGTAGGAATATTTCCAGAGTTTTGTTATTCTTAGCAAAGGATATCTTAATATTTGCTACTATGGTAAAGGATTATACAGTGTCTTTTTTTTTTTTTTTTTTCAAAGGAAGGCACGTGGAGTGGTTATATAAGTGTGTTTACTGTTGCAAACTCTAGCCGACAGTTGTCCCTCATTATATTATTATGCAGTAAAGGATTAATATCTAATATATATTCAATTACTATTTCTGAAGCTCATTAGATCAAGAACTAGGCAAGAACTTTCTATTTTATTTGAACTGACTATTGATTTAATTATTTTGATTTATTTACTACCAGATGAGCAACCAGCACTTCTTGCATCAAATAATAATAATAATAATAATTTTTACTTAATCTTTTATTAACTAACTACAAGAATAAACTTAAAAGCCATCTTGGAACATCTGCAACAGACTAATTTTACTTATTAACCATTTTATGTCTAATTCTCACTCCTCAAATAGCACTCAAATAGTACAGTAGTACTATGTGAGTTATCACTAATTTTTTAACTAAATGTTGAAAGCACACAGACATTTAATTTTTAATATTTTTATTCTGCCTCATGAGTTGTGAGAGGAAAAATATTGTATAATAAAATTATCAGTTCTATGGACTTGTCAATAAAACCAACTGTCCTCCAACAGTTTCAATATTTACACAAAAATCTAAATACTTTTGAAGTGAAGCTACAAGCTGCTGGTTAGCAACTAAAATTTGCTCAAATCTTAACTTACGAACAAAACTACATCTTGAGATTTTAATTCTTCCACAAGCTGAATCTTTTTGCTAAAAGATAAGTGTGATAGATGTACAATCAATGTTAATACAAATACTCATATGGCAACAAATTCTTTCCCTAACATATTACTCAACTGCTTACCCCTCAAATCTGCATAATCCTCTGGAATGAGTAAGTCCATGATGAAATGAAATGTGCAAGAAAGTTTTAAATTAAACGTAAATTTATAAGTGAAACTGAACTATAATGCCACAACCTTAAAATTTAATTAAATTTGGCTACTTCAATAGAAAATTTTTTTGTCCTAAATTTTATATTCAATTCATGTTAAATTATTATATAATTCGCAATTTTTGTAAAATTTTCTTACAACAAATGTTGTTCTAGGGTTATTGATTGTACACTAAGATATTTTCAAATTATGAATAATATTTCATCGTAAGATTTCAAAATTCAGGTCATAAAAGAAAATTTAGAGAAATAAGTTCAGATATAAAATGCTTTAAATTGTGCTGTTTGCGCCACTCTGTCAACTAAAGAATTTGCAAAGAATTTTTATTTTTATGTATTATTTATTAATTCAATTAATAACTTTTTTTTGATACAGTACCTTTAGTTCAAATTTTCTGATTAATTCTCCTTATCCCAAAGATCTTTGACCTTTATGTGGATAAAGTAAATTATTAATTAAGGATCATCTCTACAGTTTTATAACTCATACTGACTAAACAAACTTAAGCTTATAACAGATGATTAGATGGTGAAGAGATACAATGTATTTTAATGACAGTTTATCATTTAAATGATTTTAATACAGCTTTGAAAAAATTACGATTTGATATGAAACTTATTAATTTCATGAGAAATTTGATCAAGTGGCATACCATCTGACATATTTAACCAGTAAAGGTTTTCTTTGTTGGAGAGATCAGTGATATATGTGACTGGAACAAACCACTTGTAACCATATGGAGATAAGTCTGAGGGTGTAGCATCATCATATTCAGGTGGTGTAAGAAGAAATCTCCTCTGTCTGATCCTCACATGAGGATGGTTGAAAGTTACCATGATGAGAGGATAGCCTTTCTGACGAGTCCAAGTATCCATAATCTTCGACACATTTAAGTGTGCTGTAGTAAGAGCAACCTAAGGATAAATTAAAAAATAAAAGTATATTTTATATAAACTTATAATTTACATAATTGCAGAAATAATAAAATTGAAAACTTTTACAGATTTTGAATTATTTTGCAATAATAACAAATGACTGAACTGAACAGGAGATATATTTCACCTCTAAAATTACAGACCAAATCCTTTTCATCAATTAAAATAAAACCAAGACCAGAGCTTAATTTCTAACATTAGAAGTGTGGGAAAGGCCATTGGTAAAGAAGGGGTAAAGACTTACAATAACAAAAAAATTAGTAATTAAAATATTAGCCAAATAAAGTAACTAGCAATTAAAAAATTAAATAATCAAAATTAAAATTCAATAAAAATGTAAAGACAAATATAAATTTAATTGACTGTTACAGTAATAGAGGATAGTTAAATAAATTAAAATCACAGACTTATTTGGGGTTGTCATTGGAATTACAATTTCACAAGAAGAACTAAGACATAGCTCAGCATTAGCTAAATTTAGGCCCTGAATGAACAAATTATGTGCTGTTTCAAAGGATGATAGAAACAAAGACCATGATTTTTCCAGCATGAAAGCAAAACACTTAAAGCATTGTTAATGAAAATACACAGAGTGCTAGAAACAGTAACACAGGATAGAAGAAAATTTGGTTACATAGCTCTTTCACATAATTTTCCTTCCCCCTTTCACTTGCTGAGGAATGTTTTTTTCCCACTGTCCTCTTAATCTCAGCTGCATGTTGTAGATGGTGGAAGAGATGGGAATTTTTCTCTGTCTTTGTCTACCATTTCATGCCTTACCTCTTTAATCTCTTAATTCCTACCTCTTTTTTCCCATCACCTACTTATACCTAAAATTATTAATAAATTATTTTTCCAAATGAATTTCGATTCATGATTATTAAAGGTGTCTTCTATAGCTTATTTTATTTTTTAATCTTAATTTAGATATTGATATATTTACATGTTGTAGACAATTTTAGATCATATGAATGATAAGAAACTATCCACTACTTACTATAGTTAAATAAGTGTAATAACATCATCAGTTTCATAAATTAAACTTCCACATACATGAAACAATGCTTACGTTTATGCGACAAGGCAGTATGTATTTTCCATTTACATCTTCTCTCTCCTTAATGTCAAACATGATTCTTGGGAATAATATAATAATATATTCTCATAACATAATAAGATTTATGTTATGAGAGTAACATTTTGAGATTGGTTTATTTTAGATACCTATTGATGTGATGGAGAAATGAACTATTTGGTTAGTGCAATCTCACATTTTTGGAATACCACAATTTAGTAATTCACTGAAGAGAGGAAATCATTTTACCAGATGAATACTATAATTTTGATTAAAATTTTTAATAATGAATTAGAATGCTAAAAATTTCTTTTCATCTGCCTGAGTTGAATTCAAAATCTAGCTTTGATGCTTGGAAAAACTCATATTTGGTCAGAAAACTAATTAAAAAATGAAATGTATGTATGTCCGCATGCATGTATGTGTATGTACACTCATACGTACATATATATTTATGCATACATGAACACAAACATACATACATTTCTGAATCCTGTCCTGATAAGACTGAATTTGACCTGATAAGATCTGACAGTACTGAATTTGGAAATTAAAATGGGAATAAAGGGAAAAAATATAATACATAAAGTTAGAACTATACTATGTTATGCTATCTGCCATGGCTGTTTTTCATTGCATCTATTTCTGTCTGTGTAGAATCTGTGCAACGATATGAAAGTGAATTTGTTTCATAAATTTAAGATTGTTCTATAGTCCCATTTCTTTAAACTGAATGTCAAAATGCAGCTGAAGGCATCTTAGACTGCATAATATCAAAAGAAATAATGCTGCACAGAGACAATAACAGAAATTTTACATATTGTGTGTGTGAAAGAGAGAAAAAAGGAATTTATGGGAAAAGGGCTGAGGAAGAATTTGAGGAATAACCAGCTACTACAAACTTTCCTTTTACTGAACAGTGTTCCTTCTTCTAATAATCTTTTGGTATTATTTACATACTGTAGGATTCATGCATTTTCCATAGACATTAAGTTGCAATGAATTTCATTTGCATTTTAACATTAAAATTGAAGAAATCTAATAAATGAGATATTTTGCACTTCAGTATCTATTTAATCAGACACCTTTACATGCATGCTGCACTTTTACCAAACTGAAGTCTGCCAGGGTTCTTGACTCAATTTTTTTTGTCCTTGGATGACAAAGCAAAACCCCACACAACAAGGGACACAAAAGAAACACATTTGTTATTGAAGATTTGGAGTGTTTGAATCACACGGCCGACAGCCCTGATCTTGCCATTAGACTTCCATCTCTTTCCTGCTGAAGTCAGCACTAATGGTATGTCACTCCTAAAGCAACAAAGAGGGGCATCATGCTGTGATGAATTTCTTTATATTGCTGGCACCAATTTTTATCAAATGGTTTTTTGAAACTGATTTCATGGTGCAAATAATGTATCAATGTTGGTGGTAACTATGTGGAAAAATAGGCAAAAGTTTGCATTTTGTCACTGAATTTTTTTGTTTCTAATGAAGCTTCCTAGCGAAAAAGCATGGCAAAACTTATTTTTAGAGCATCAGTCGCGTATGTCAATGTTTTAAGTCAGAATAGTAAACAGCTTTATATAACAGCAATTCAACACATTGAAAGGTATCAAATTTCATATGACTGCTATATTACAGCATTGAAGCACTTATTTTTTAAATTGATCTGTCATCTAAATGATTTCAGATAATAAAGCAACACAAAACTCACCTGTGTGAAGGCATCCCATAATTCTTCAGTACGTGCATTTTTGAAACGATATTTATTCAAATACACTGATAATCCTTTCTTCAATGTTTCCATACCAAGAAAATTTTCTAACATATAAAGTATTGCAGCACCCTAATCGGGAGAAGAACACATTTTTACTTATACTTGAACAATAATTCAGTGAAATAACATCTGAAAACAAGTATATTAATAAAAGAAATTCAACAGTCCTTGGTTTAAGTAAAAAAAATATAAAAAATAATAAAATTACAACTATAATATAGGTTAAACTAGTTATTTAGAAGGGGGGACTCTCTTAAAGGCTTAACCACTTCTTGGTTGAATTTCTTTTTCTGATTTAGGGATTTAAAAAAAAGGTTGTTATGATTTTAAACTTGTGTAGATTATATATGTTCTAACCTGAATTTGAAAATACAAGATATTTCAGTCAGTAAGCAGTTTTTTGCTTGACCTACTGGTGGTCATATATGTGATATTCCATTCACTAATCTTCAGTTTTCCCAGCAACAACCTCAAATTTTAGATTAAAAAATACTGTTTGATACTATATATATCATATTTGAGGTATTTCAGATAAATATCTGTGTTAGTTTGGTACATTTATATTTACCATGTTGGCAACACCAAGTTCTCTTCTCTGCGTGCGAGCTATGGATGCAGTTGTAATGTTGTGCACATTTTGTTAAGTTTCAATAAAAAATGTGAAAAGATACGTTTCTTATTTTTCGACTTGCTTCTTCATATGATATCGATTTATTTAACATGGTAGCAGTTCTCGTGGTTTGTGAATATGAATGAAGAATTTAGTAGTTATAATTTGTTTTAAAAGTTACCGGTACTAGCGTAAAAATGGCATGTACAAGAAGCAGCGATATCGGCATACCGCTATGGTTTGACTATTGGAAAAGTGCTAAAGATGAAAAAATTTGATTAAAAAAGTTAAAGAAGTGCGTATGATGAAAAAAAAATTTAAAAAAGTGTAAAGATGTGGTTCAGCGAAAAGTCAGTGAAATGATGACAAAAATGGGAAAATATACCAAGCTACAAATTACATTTACGGCGCCAAACAAAGCAGTTTGGAATATATTCACGAGTGTGAGACTGCATTTGATATATTACGAAATTTGATGCAATGTATTTAAAAACTTCAACATCTCTACAAATTGTTTGTCGAAATAACTTAGAATGTGTGAAACTGAAAAATTATCCTGATGTAAATATATTTTTCGATGATTTTGAGAAGTATGTGAACGAACTGAAACATGCCGGCGGCACCGTAACGGAACAAGAAAAATTGAACTGTATAGCTAAGAGTCAAATTACAGTCAACATCACTTATGAAACAATGGATGTCAAGAATAATTGTGGAAAACCTGGTCACATTAAAAAGAATTGTTGGCATGTCCATCAAAGGAACTATCGTGGTAATGGCTCCACTAATTATCGTGGTCGAAGTTCTTCAAACAATCGAGGACGTAGTCGTGCTTTTAGTGGACATCGTGAACGTGGAAGCATACTCTAACCATAGAATAAACAGTCATCAAGGCAATAGTTTTCACACCACTGTTATCGAAAGTAACATGACAAGTTCCAGTGCAAATACTGTGATGAATAAAAATGAAATCAATTGGTTACTGGATAGCGGATGCACAGACCACATTGTAAACAGTGATGAATATTTCAAAGAGCAAGTCACTTTGAAGGATCCTATTCAAGTGAAAGTCGGTGACGGAAGGATTTTGAAAGCTAAAAAGGTTGGCAATATAATTGTTTCTTTTCCTGTATATAACTCTGAATCTATCGTAACATTGAAGAATGTATTTTATGTAAAAGAAATGAAAGCAAATTTATTAAGTTATTCAAAGATTACTGATAATCATAAAATAGTTTCAAAAGAAAAGTTCTTTAAATATATGATGTCAATGGTTCATTAGTAGCAATTTAGCAAAGAAAGAAGAAAGATTATATAAAGTAAAGAGTTATGTTAAAAATAGTAAAATATTTGCAAATTTGACCAACAGTAAGTTAACGTTAAAAGAAAAATTGCACCGTTCATTTGGACATGTAAATTTTAAATATCTGGATATTATGTGCAAAGATCAGCTATTAGAAGGAATCCCTAAAGAAATAGAAACCGAATATATGAAGTGTGCCATATGTATTGAAAATAAAATGCACAATTTACCATTCAAGAATAATAGAAGAAAAGCAGAAGATATTCTGGAGATTATACATACAGATGTAAATGGACCTCACAGAACAAGTGGATGTAATGGTGAGAAATACTTTGTGAGTTTTATTGATGATTATAGCAAGTTGGCAAAAATTTATTGTATCAAATCTAAGGATCAAGTCTCTGATTGCTTAATTGAATATGTAAATGAAATTCAAAATTTAACAGGGAAGACTATCAAAGAACTAAGATGTGATAATGGTAGTGAATATATGAATAGCAAGATATACAAATTTGCAAGAGAAAAAGGTTTTAAGATAAAGTGATGCCCACCATATGTACATGAATTAAAGGGTACTGCTGAGCATTACAACAGAACTATAATGGATATGGCAAGATGTCTTTTAGCCGAAGCAAAAGTTGACAGACGTTACTGGCCTGAAGTAATTAAAGCTGCTGCTTATTTGAAAAACAAGATTTGTAAAGAAGACACCATATGAAATATTTTTCAATAGGAAACCATCTGCTAATGAATTGAAATTATACGGAAGTAGAGTGTATGTAAGAATACCAGAAGGAAAGAGAAAGTCTAAGTGGGATAAAAAGGCTGAATTTGGAATTTTACTTGGGTATACAGAAGTTGGATATAGAGTTTTGATGAATAACAGAATAATAGTTGCCAGACATGTTGACATTATTGAAGAAGACATAATGTGTGTAGGTTGTGATGATGAAGATAAGAATGATGATACAAATAAGAAGAATGAACCTCAAGAAGTGTCATGTGAATCGAGTAATGATAACTCCAAGGACAGTGTGATAAATGAAGATGAAACAAAAAGTGGAATGAGACAGAACAAGAAGGCAAATCAAACCACCAGTTCGATTTCATGAAGAATTCGGGTACTACTGTGTTAGTGCAAATTTTTGTGATGCTACAGTTCCAGGTAACTTTGAGGAGGCGACAACATGCAGTGAGGCTGGACATTGGAAAGAGGCAATGGACAGTGAAATGAACAGTCTTGTTAAAATAACACTTGGACACTAGTGACTAAACCAGAGGATAAAGCAATTCTAGATGTGAAGTGGGTATTCAAAAAGAAAACCAGGTAATGTTTTTAAAGCTAGATTAGTGGTTCGAGGTTTCCAGCAAAAAGATAGTATTGAGGATACTTACTCCCCTGTCATTAAGATGCAAACCTTAAAATTGTTACTTTCATATTCTTGTCAGTATAATTTAAATATTCATCAAATGGATGTTGAGACTGCCTTTTTAAATGGTTATGTTGTGTCTGAGGTTTATGTTAAACAACCACAAGGCTATAAATAATTCGAATAGAGTGTAAAAAAAAAGCACTATATGGGTTGAAAAAAAAAGCCTGTAGGGTAAATTTCGTAAAGTAAAAATTGTTTATGTAAAATCTGAAAATTTATGATTATATATTCTTTTATTTGGGGATTTGGGGAATATGTGAAATTAAATATTAAGGAACAACTACATAAAATCAGGAAAATATTTTGAAATGTAAAAGCTAAACTGTATGTAATGAAAATATCTTAACACTGAGTCAGGAAAATTATAAATCTTAGCTAACATGTATGGTATTCAAATCTTCAAAATGATACAAAGGAATCTTAAATCTAAAAAATCAAATGTCAAAGAAAATCTAATAGGAGCACTCCTCTTGGTCATTGACCAGACCAGACATATCTTCAGCGTAAAGATTTAGTTTTCAAAATTGTTATGATGAGACACAAATTTCAAATGAGAGCTTTGAGAAGTATTTGTACTTAACAAAACTCTAAAATTAACCTATAGTAAAAATCTTAAAACTGATTATTATGAATTGTTATGTTGATGCTGATTGGGCAGGTGATATTGTTGACAGAAAGTCAACTACTGGGTTTGTTATTGAATTATTTGGTAATCCAATTTACTGGAAATCCAAAAGCAAATTGTGTGACAAAATCTTCCACTTTTGCCGAATATATTGCTCTATCTGATCTGGCTGTGACAGAAATTAATTTCTTAAAAAATGTTGTGAATGATGTTTTTGCTGATATAACTCACCCATTAAAATTTATGAAGATAATTCAGGAGCTTTGGCCATTGCTAATTATGGGAACTTCACTAAAAATTCAAAACACATAGAAGTTCAATATCATTATGTCACGAAAATGTTCAAAATGGAGTAATTGAAATTTTATAAAGATTGATTCAGAATCAAATATTGCAGATATCTTTACTAAGTCTTTAGGAAAGATTAAATTTATGAAATTCAGAGAAGGTTTGAAATTGAAATAAATTTTGTATACTGTTTATTTAAGTGATGTTTATTTAAATATTTTTGCTTGAAATGAAATAGATTTTGGTAATGTCCTTATGTAAACTAAATTGTGTTTAACTTTGATTTTAACATTTAAGTTAATGAAAGAAACTTTTTTAAAATAATTTGTGTTAAGTGTTGAATGTTATTGTTTATATCTATGCTTAATTGTAAATGGTAAAGATGAAAAGGTTGCTTATATCTATGTTTGTTTATAATTAGTAAATATAAATGTAAGGAGGCGTGTTAGTTTGGTACATTTATATTTACCATGTTGGCAAAACCAAGTTCTCTTCTCTGCATGCGAGCTATGGATGCCATTGTAATGTTGTGCACGTGTTGTTAAGTTTCAATAAAAAATGTGAAAAGATACGTTTCTTATTTTTTGACTTGCTTTTTCATATGATATCGATTTATTTAACAATCTGCATAAAAAGAATTATTAAAAATATGTAAAAAGTGTTTTGGAGCATATATTTTCAATGTTACCACGAAAACAACTTAAAAATCTTCATTGGCAAACACAACACGAAAACCTTATTGAAATAATTTATTGTCAATTATTTTAATGCTCACCATTCGAAAAAGAAAGAAAAAAACCCTTGGCTATG